ATGTAAAATTCCTACTTCATAGAAAAATATATATTCATTGAGTACATTCTAGTAAGTAAGAGGGACAGTGACTGGCAAGAAACAAAAATGCAAATAATTGATTGCTACAGTAATGGGACTTGAAAGATGAAGTCCCCAAATTTCACCACCTTGTATGATTTCCATCATTGCTAAGTGTAGTTTTTGCAAAAAAAAAAAAAAAAGAAGAAGAAAGAAAAGAAAAGAAAAGAAAAGAAGAAAAATTATACACGAAAACCCATACTTTGCAAAACTGTTGTGAGAATTAGAAGAAATGAAGGTAAACCTATAGGCCAATGCTCTGTAAATGGTAACTAATATTTGAAAATAGTGAATTTGGCGGGGGGGGGCAAAGGAAGTATTCCAAATGAATCACATATCAAAGCAGAACCTTCTATCAAGGTAAATGGAGAGAAGGGAATATTCTGAGGAATCTTCTGATTCATGGACTATTACTGATAAACATATCACACATGACTAATTTTCAAAATTCTAGAATAAGGGCTTTACAGCCTCAAATTTATACAGTCCCAGTGAGGCGGCGCTCCCTCCATCTGACAGATACCTCACCTGGTGACGTCCAGAGAAGACGCTGAGGCTTAGGAAGGTGTGGGCCCCAACTGCTGGAAAGTGGCCCGGGCCTGCAGGGGACCCCCTCCTGTTCATTGACACCCAGCTTTGTGAGGCCACACAGGAAACGTCTCTGTGATTATCATCATCATCATCGTAGTTATGATAACAATGGCCGTATTCATTTCCAATTGTGTCTGTAACAAATTACCATAAAATTAATGACTTAAAATGAATTTATGATCTTACCGTTCTTGAAGTCCGAAGTCCGAAATGGGTGTCACTTGGCTAAAGTCAAGGTGTTTCTGGGAACTTAGGGAGAATCATTCCCTTACTTCTTCCAGCTTCAAGACGTACCTAAATTTCTTGGCTAGTAGCCCTTCCTCCATCTTCAAAGCCAGCGGTGTTAAATCTTCACGTTTCTCTTTTGCCTCCCCCTTTCATTATAAAGACAATTGTGAATAGATTGGGTTCACCTGGATAATCCAAATCAAGGCCATCTGATTTAGCAACCTTAATTCCCACTTGCCATGTAACGTAACATCCAGGTTCCTGAGATTAGGACATGTACATCTTTGGGAGGGGGGGCATTATTCTGCCCACCATTTCTTCTAGCTAATGTTCCTTGAGTACTTATTATGTGCCTTGTACAATTCCAAGCATGTTACCTGTAATAATGCATTTAAACTTCATCACAACTCTATGTACCCATTTTACAGATGAAGAAAGTGAGGCACAGAAAACAAAAGTAACTTTCCCAAGTAACTTGGCATAGCTAGTAAGAGGTAGGAAGGACTGAGCTACAGATCTGGGAGTAAGATCTCAGAACCACAAGTTCTCTTAGCCCAGTGGTCAGTAAACTACGGCTCGAGAGCCACATGCGGCTCTTTGGCCCCTTGAGTGTGGCCATGAAATTTCAATCGCATTGTACATGCGCGCCCGCATATGGTATTTTGTGGAAGAGCCACACTCAAGGGGCCACAGTTTGCCGACCACTGTCTTAGCCACAAGTTCCCTTCAGTAATTGGAGGACAGATGAACAAACTGAATTCTACCTCATTTAATTCTTCCTTGATGATCCAAAAGTCCCTTCAGGATGTCATGGTGCCTCAAGTCCATCAATACTGACTGCCATATATCATGAGTCAGGTAACTTTGGATAGACTGACCAGTAGACTTTTAGGGGCTGAGATGCCTGGCGAGCCTGCTTCCTTCTTGGGGGGGCTTCTCACAGTGGGCAATAGTGATTCTCCGTGGTATCTGACCTCAGCTACTCCTCTTTCTCTGTACTCCAGCCATGCCAGCTTCACAGATATTCCTCAAAAAGGTCAATTTCTACCATGGAGCCTTTGTACTAGGTGTCATCCCTGCCTTAAAGCTCTCCCCAATCTACACTAATAAAAGAGAAACATGCAAATTGGTGCCACTCTGCTATGCCCACCAGCCAATCAGAGCAACTATGCAAATTAACCCAACAGAGATGGCAGTTAATTTGCATACACAGGCACGAAACAAAGACTGAAGGCTCCAGCTGAAGACTGAAGACTGAGGAGGCTTGGCTTCTCTGCTGTGGCTGGACCAAAGGCCTGGGTCCCAGGTGCCAGAGGAAAACCGGTGCCGGCAGCCAGGGGAAGGAAGGCCTATTGCTCGAATCTTCGTGCAATGAGCTTCTAGTATACAATATGCACAAAGCTCAACAATCACATCAAGGATCACAAAGGAGCCAGGCATCAAGCCCATTTAGTGGGTCATGTCTCCCACTTCCCTCCCAACTAATTTGGTGGGCAGAAGGCATTAAAGTTCCCTTCTTTTTCTTGCTTCCCCCTCCCCTCCCATACCACCCCCCCTCCCATCCCCCAGTAAAGACTAAGGGAGTTGGGTTTGCAAGTAGGGACATGTCTTCATCTTGAAGTTTCCCTTGACTCTGTTGTGCACAAATGTCCTGGAGCAAGAAGTTGGAGGAGAAGGCAGGAGCTAGTTTTGTAGACACCAGATCTTCAAGGGAAAGAGAGAAAAAATCCTGACTTGTGGGGCACCTACTGAGTGCTCACCTTCATACTCCTGTACAGGAGGTACTAATCTTACCTCTGTTTCATAAAGGACACTGAGGACCCTGGCTGTTAAGAAACTGGCTCCCAGTGACACAGGGAGGGGCAGAGCAGAACTTGAGTGTAAGTCAGCCTGAACACAGCAAAGGCCACCAGCTGCCACCTCATGCTCCCCCTTCAGGGAGAGAGGAAGCAGTCTGGGGTGGAATAGGGACAATAGTGAAGCAATTGGCCAACCATGAAAAAAGAATTTATTCCTCAATGCATAATTTTTCTATTTAGAAAATTACATGAAAACAATGGGAGCAGAAGTGAAGACACACGCTCCCATCCCCTGGGACTATTGCAGGTGAGTATCCAATTGTCCCAGCACCATTTGTGGTAAAGATTAACCTTTCTCCACTGAGTTGCCTTGGCACCTTTGTCAAAATCAATTGACCATTTATGTGTGCATTTATTTTTGGATTCTCTATTCTGTTCCATGAATCTGTTTGTCTGTCTAGGCCAGTGATGGCGAACCTATGACACATGTGTCAGAGGTGACACGCAAACTCATTTTTTTGGGTGATTTTTCTTTGTTAAATGGCATTTAAATATATAAAATAAATATCAAAAATTTAAGTCTTTGTTTTACTATGGTTGCAAATATAAAAAAATTTCTATATGTGACACGGCCCCAAAGTGAACTTAGGGTTTTTCAAAATGCTGACACGCCGAGCTCAAAAGGTTCGCCATCACTGGTCTAGATGCTACTCATTGTTTTGATCACTGTAGCTTTGTAGTAAGGTTTGAAATTGAATTCTTTGTTCTTTTTCAAATTGTGTTCTTTTTCAAAATTGTTTTAACTATTCTAGGTTCTTTGCATTTCCATATGGATTTCAGAGATGGTCAATTTCAAAAGCTTGCTGGGATTTTGAGTGTGTTGAATCCATAGGTCAACTTGGAGAAAATGACATCTTAGCATTATGTTCTCAGATCAATGAACATAGTATACCTCTCTGTTTATGTAGGTCTTATTTCATTGATCCCAGCAGTGTTTTGTAATTTTCATTGAAGAGATTTTGCACATCTTTTGGAGATCTATCACTAAATAGTTTATATTTTTTTGAGGCTAATGTAAGTGGCATTTTAAATTTCAACTTCCAACTGTTTATTGCTATTATGTAGAAACTAGAAGCCCAGGGTGCAAAATCGCACAGCCCTGCCCACCCACGCATGCCTTGCTGTGCCCGCCCGCCTGCTGCCCTGCCCACCTGCCAGCTGCCAGCCTTATTGCAATTGTAGCCTGTGGGCCGCGCTGCGTGAGCCGAAATTACACGAGACCCCAGACTCACCGAGTGAGGCGGGACCCCAGACCCCAGACCCACTGTGTGAAGCGGGACCCCAGACCTGCTGCACTGGCGAGACCCATCAATGCACCTCCTGGTGACCGGTTGTTTGGTCATTACCATGTTACGGCCACAGGCTTTTTATAGATATAGATATAGATATAGATATAGATAGAGATAGAGATAGATAGAGATAGAGATAGAGATAGAGATAGAGATAGAGATAGATATAGAGATAGATATATAGATATAGATATATAGATATATAGATATATAGATATATAGATATATAGATATATAGATATATAGATATATAGATATATAGATATATAGATATATAGATATATAGATATAGATACAGTCAATTTTAATATATTGATCTTGGATCCAACTGATCTCTCAGAGCACCCTATTTTTCCTGCCTTGTACTTACCATACTTGTCATTGAAATGTGCACTAAAGCAATGCCACAAGGGCTGGGGCCATTGCTATTTTGTTTAGCCAAACCTCTCAACATGCCCAATAAGTGGTAGGCACTCAATAAATGGTCTTAATGAGTGCTGGCATTTTCTTTAGCTACATACACACCCTTCCATTCAACCCTAGTTTTTGTGAACAAACTTGTATCTTGGGTATTTCTCTTCCATTAGAATGGTGGTTTGAAATTGTGTATTAAAATCTCCCCAGGTGATTCTAAAATATACTAATGCTTCAGACTCATGCCGGCCTATTGAAAGCCACCTCTCAGGGTGCAGGACACAGGCATTTTTATATTTTAAAAAAATACTTCTTGGTGATTCTGATGTGCATCCAGAGTTGTGAAACACAGGCATAGAAAAACAGGCTGCCTGCATTCAGCCAAGTTGTAAAATAAAAACATGGATGGGCTTACCCTGGAAGGTCCCGCAGGTGAGATATAAGGAAACTCACATGGGGCTCCCTGCTACCCAGCCTCCTCTGAGAGTTGCACCTTGGTTTCTCTCGCACTCTCTCCACTGCAATGGAACAGGAATAAAAGAAGGAAGCCAGACCAGAGTGGAAAGCATTTTCAAACTTTATTTACAACTGTCACAGTGACAAAAAGTAGTTTGGAAAAAAAAAAGCTAGTTTCTCCCTGAGCCTCAAAAAAGAACAGATAGAAGTTACAGGAGGTTCATCTTACAACAGGCATGTTTACTGAAATACTAGTTTGTTTGCTTTTAGTACGATCAGTTAGAAATACACACAAGATACTTAAAAAAAAAAAAAAAGAGGAGGCCAGACAGGAGCTCAGCCACTTGTCCAAGAGCGACTGGGTCCCCCCAACAGGCTCACCGCTGAGGGTCCTGACTTTAGCTGTCAGCCTCTGGCCTGCTCAGACTCCACATGGTCGTACAAAGGGGTCTAGCGACCAGCAAAAATAATAAACCACCCCCATAAACACACATATACACAACGTAGGTCTGTTATGCAGTTTACAAGCACGTTCCCATCACACGGACAGATGATACAGGGGAACACATTGGAGGGGGACATGAAACACAGGATTTTAAAAGGCAAGACCCCATCCACAAGGGAGGCACAGGATGAGAAATGCTGCTGTGAGGGAAGGAGAGTGGGAGGGAAGGGTCTCCGCAGCCAAAACCGGAGGAAAGGGAGAGCAAGAGAGAAACACCCCCAGTGCAGGCTGCAGGCTCTCCCACTTCCTCGAGGAGCTGGAAGAAGTTATTGCCATCGATCGGTGTGAGTAACACAAGCAGTCAACACAGAGGAAGGGAGCAGGGGCGGGGATGGGAGAGTGTCGGCTGCCCAGAACCAAACCCTGTTGATGTATCAACAGCACACCCTGTCCTCCTGCCCAACCTTCCCCAGAGCCACACTAACCTTGAGGTATTAAATACAACCTTCATGCAAGTCCAAACCCGGTCACCCTGGACTGACTGGACACCTGAGGGCTCACATGGGTGCCTCGCTGGGCAGAGTTCAGCCCCAGGGCTGCTCTTGAGCCCACCTCTTGGCAGCACGGTCTGCTCTGAGATAGAGATGAAGCGCATCCTGCACTGTGCAGCTCCTGGTGGTTCTGAACTATGATAAGAAGCTCTAAGTCCAAGGCTAACCTTCTCGGGTAACAGTGCCCTTGCAGGGGACAGGCGGGAGGTGGGGAGTGAGGAGGACACCGTTCCATGCTCCCTCGCCACGCCGTCCTCCCACCAGGAACGCCAGGGGAGAAGCCAGGGATCGCATGACACCCTTTAGTGTCAAACTCGATCCCCAGGCTGCTGCACAAGAGCCTCCTCACCCATCCAGTAATTCCCGGGCTTTGCCAGCTCTCGGGATGTACACTAACTTAGTCACCTCCCCAACAAGAAACAGAGTCTCCTGTGCTCTCCATGCAGCTCCCACCAGGAAAGCAGGCCACACGCCCACATGGGAGCGGGTACGCAACTGACTCTGGTGGCTGGAACCCACTGCAGGGCTGGGAGCCACCTGCGCCTCATGGCTGTGACCAGGGGCTGGGAGGGCATGGTAAGGAGAGAGAAGGGCCAGCCTGGGAGAGCCCACCCACTCGCTCTGGGCCTCTGCTCAGTCTGAGAGCAAGTGTGGAGGGGACCTTCATGTCCAAGTGTTCACATCAGTCCTCCGACAAGGGCAGGAAGAACTCTCACTACTCCCAGGGGCGGGCGGGACAAAAAGGATAAATAAGGGAAGAGAAGCTCAAAAGCACTGCCTCTTAAAAACAACCACTCCAGCTTACCGCAGGGATGTCAACCTGCCACAGCCAGGAGCAGAGGGGCCGTGGAGAAAGATGGGGGGCCTTTCCCTTTCTGAGCACCACCTCCGGCTGGCTTTGCAGGCAGCCAGGGTGCACTGCTCTCCTTTACCCGCCTCCCCTGTAACAGGCAACACACCTGAAACGAAAGCAAAGGCTGGCGAAGCTGGAGAGAGATGAAGACTTGGTTGTCTGATGCCCCAGCAGCAGAGAGAGGGCTCACTGAGAAGTAAGTACTTCCTGGCTGCACCTCTCTGCTCAGTGTTTTCCTTAAACCGTGCATTTGCTCTTTTGTCCCGTGTTTGTTTTCTTAGCCCAAATGTTCCTTGCTCGCTGTGTATGCCCCATTCCCCCCGCTGCCCCCCGCCCCGCAGAGCCCCCTGGAATCCCACCGCTGCCTCTAGGTGCTGAGTTCAGATACTGATCTCAAAAACCAAAGCTTCCCCACACCCCCAACCCCAGCTCGAAGCAGCTTCCTTTCTCAGAAGGTCTTGCAAAGTGCCCCAGAGGGCTCCAGGGTGCGACACAGTTCAAAAAAAAAAAAAAGAAAGAAAAGAAAGGGAAAGAAAACCAACTCAGTGATTCGCAGGAGCAAAACGGAAGCCTGGTCTGACGTTTCAGAATGATTGTGGCCCACTCTCTTCATCCATCACAATGGGAAAGAACACAGTTCAGGTACAGATGCTGTCTGGTGTGACCCGTGGGGAGTCGGTGGGAATCTACTGCTCCTTGTTCTCTGTCGCTGTCTCTTCACAGTTGTCCTGCTCATCCTCCTGGACCAAGAACTCCTCGGGGGGCCACCGCAGCTCCCCGCTCTCCACCTCCCCCTCTGTGGGTTCCACCACTATGGAGGGCAGGCGGTCCTTCAGTTTGCAGCAGCGGTCAAAGTCTGACGGGTCAGGGAAGATCTGAAATAAAAGCAGAGCGAGCGCCCGGTCACGTTCAGATCTAAAAAGTGCAACTCCTTTCCTTCATCTCACACCCGCGGGCAGGGCTGAGCACCTGCCGTGTGCCATGGACTGTGCTAAGCCGGGCTACAGCAGCCGGGAAGCGAATTCTGGGCAACGTGAGAAAGCATTCCTCAACTTGAAGCTGCAAGTTTTCAGGGCAGCACCACCGAGTCTAAAAGGTGGGGTAGCTCTGTTTGCACTATTTGTTTTATTTTATTTCTGATAAAATCATTCAAAGCCATGTCATCCTCAGTAAGCCACATCTCTGTTTGCAGCAAGCATTTTACTCTGGCAGTCTGACAGGTCTCATTCGGTAGCTCAGTTGGTCAGAGTGTCGCCCTGATACACCAAGGATATGGGTTCGATCCCGGTCAGGGCACATACAAGAATCAACCAATGAATGCATAAATAAGTGGAACAACAGATCAATGTTTCTCTCTCTCTCTCTCTCTCTCTCTCTCTCTCTCTCTCTCAAATCAATTTTTAAATTAAAAAAAAAATCCTCTCAGGATCATTTCTGACACCTTGTATGAGCCAGCTCCCAGGTGCTTTACATATATAATTTTGAACTAACATAGTCATACTGACAAACAGGTGTTCCTGGTACTACCTTAAAGAATCCCAGGCTTAGAGAAAGAGGCTGCCCAGGCCATGCAGCCTGGAAATGGGTGGTGGAAGGAGATTCAGACCCAGGTATGTTTGACTCCTGTGCCCGTGCCCCAGTACCACCCCCGCTCCTCCAATAAATGGGTCCTGATCTCCTTTCAACTGAATAGTCAAGGCCACATAAGGGTTGAGGTGTGGCTCCCAGCCACAGGCAGGCTGGGGACAAAATCCCAGGCTCCTTTTTCATGTGTGAACAATTCCTGGCTCCTTGATGGCTCTACACCTGAAAGAACTTACTTCTCTCTCCAGAGTTCCATCAACAAGGCTTTTAAAAAATGCCTACTGTGTGTCCTGCCCAAAAGTGGGAGAAACCTCAAACCAGACTATAAAATTGAGGCCTCTGTGTATTCCCTTTGCATACACTGCCCTGTGACTACAGCTGACCCAATTCTTTGCCCAGCAGTTTAAGTACTTAATCCGATGGGCTGCTGGTCCCTTGCCATTCACAGTCCTCGGTGACGCATCCCAGAGCTGGAGAGAGGAGCCTCTGTGGCCTCAGAATCACATGGCACCTTCAAGGCCATCTCTTCCCACCTCTCTATTTGATAGATGAGGAAACTGAGGCCCAGAGGGGTCAGGAGACTTGCTCGAGGTCACACAGCTCGTTAATAGCAAAAGAAAGGAAGGCAAAACCAGGACTGAGTAGAAACACACATCTGAAGAGATGCCTGGCTCAGATCCAGACAGGCCCACGGCAACAGACAGGTGTCTTCCATTCCCCAGAGGCAGAAATGCTCTCCTACAATCACAGGCCTTCCGTGATGCTATGAGGGTGCCCCATCTTCCTGCACCCCAACCCCAAGCAATGCTGTCCCAGTCAAGTCACCAACCACGTCACAGGTCACGCGGGGCTGCCGGGAGTCATGGGCCTCGCCGAAACCTCCCCAATCCCTGCAGACAAGTGATTATTAACCATTTATCCAATAAAGCCCTATTGCTGGGGATTAAGCCTTAAGCCAGCTGCACAACCAGGCATCATTAAAGACTTAACAAGCCTTATAAAAAGTACCTTAATGGCAGCCAGGAGGAAAACAAGGCAAGGGAGGGGCTGGGGGAGTGGGGCTGAAAGAAAGCACGGGGCAGGTTGACCCCACTGCTGGCTTTCTCCTCCTGGTGTGGCCAGCCCTACAATTCCGCCCTCAGACTGTGCTGTGCACACAGATCGCCGGTGCTGAGCCAGGAGAGGGTCAAGGGCCTCTCTGGGCCGCTCCTCACTTCTCTTCATGTGCAGCGGGAGCCTCTCCCTGTGTGTGATGACACAAATCTACGAAGCTTTCAGACATCACCTCCTTTCGGCCTCACCACCCCCAAGAGCAGTGAGACCTGAGGCTCTGAGGACCACGTGGAAGAGCCAGGATTCAAACCCAGATCTTCTGTTTTCAATGCCTGTACCTTCTGAAAAATGAATAGATGCCACTGGGTGAACATGTCAATTTTACAGACAGAAAACTAACCAGGGAGGGTGGGCAAGACTGTGGGTTTCAATGGCTCATTCGGCTGCCAGGGGCCCCATGATGACCCTCTGGGCAGCTGAGCTTCCCAGTCCAGGCAGTTGTTCTAAGTCTTTAGGACCCGAGAAAGAGCTGTGAAATATCAACAGATGGGTGCCTGGCCCAGACTCAGCACCCTACCTCTACCCTCTGACTGCAAGCCCAGGGCTGTGCCTGCCCTGTGACTCCCAGACGAAAGAGATGGCAGCCAGATTCTAACTGTGATCACCGTCTGAGCAAGAGTGACAGGGACAAGAAGTAAGAGGAGGAGGATAATAAGGGTGGAGAACATGGATGTTTGTTTTAAGCTGGAAGCAGGCCTTTAGCTAAAATAGGCAGGGGCGGGGTGGGGGTGTGTGTTAAAATAATGATGATGATGATGAGAAACATGCCAGGCTTATCTGCCAATCAGCCCTTGGTGACACATCCCAGATCAGATTCTCTGTCTTCACAATAGTCCTCTGAAGTAAGCAGCAGTGTGATCCCTATCCTATATAATAAAAGCCTAATATGCAAATCAACCGAACGGCAGAACAACTGGTGGCTATGACACACACTGATGACCAGAGGGCAGATGCTCAATGCAGGAGCTGCCCCCAGACTGCAGGCCCCAGGCCAGCCAAGGTAGATGCCAGCAGGGGCCCCGCCGGTTGCCCCACAGATTGGCCCTGATTGCCAGCCAGGCCTAGGGACCCTACCTGTGCATGAACTTCATGCACCAGGCCTCTAATATTATAGATACGGAAACTGAAGTACAGAGAGGGCAAGCGACTTCCTCAAGGCCATGGAGCTAGGAAGTGGCAGATCTGAGACCCAAACTCAGACCTCAAGGACTTCAAGTAATGTGTTCATTTGATAACACAGCATCCAGCCAAAGACCACCAGTTCTCATTATGTCCTTGACATCAGTTGTATAACCCCAGCCAAGTCCTCTCAATCACCTGTTCCTCAGTTTCTCCTTTTGAGAAGCAAAGTGACCTTCGTATCTCACTAGATGGGTACAAGTGCTTGGCAAATCCAAGTATAATAAAATGCTGTGAGGACACATGCTAAAGTCAAATTTGAATGTCCTTTGTGGAGCTGTTTCAACAGGACTCAGGTAAGTGTTCAATCTGCAAACAAGAGGCAGCCATACTAACGCAGCAATTAACATAACTCCACACAATGCCTTTCATACCAGCAGCTGCACAATTAAGTCTCTGACGTCCTTGGGGGAAGTCTGAGCAGTGAACTTCTGATACTGCTTAACTGCCAGAGAACTTTGCTCCCTGAATTGTTCAAAGCAGGCACCATTAAAAAAGCCAAACAAAAAAAAAACCATAAAACTTATTTTTTTTACAAAGCCTGTTAATTACATTTTTAAAAATCACTATAATAATCTAACCCTTCCATCAGAGATTTTATTAGTAGATAATACCAATTTATGGCTCTGGAGATTGTAGCTCTCTCCAAAGACAAACAAAAGGCACCCAGAAACCAACAGCTTCTCGTTTCCTTGCACACAGACAGAAAGCCTTGCGAGAGGAGGATCTCACCAGCGCACTCTTATCTCCGACAGCTGCTGAAGAGGCTGACCCTAAGGAGGTCAAGATTTTTCCACTAAGTCATGCTTTTTAATCATCTGGGCAGCAGAAAAATGAGAGGTTGCAACTGCTATTTGCCGGGGTGGGGAAGGCAGTGGAAAAAAGGACTCAAGTCAGCCTTGCCAAGCACATGACAGGTAGGGTTGAGGCAGCAGGCCAGCCCAGCATGCCGTTGGCCTGCAGGAACTGGCAGGGAATAAGGAGCTGCCCCATTCCAAAAAGAAACTGCTTCTGGTTAAACTGCTTACCCCAAAGCGCCCCTTCTCTCTGGACAAGGAAAAGAAAAAAAAACAAACAAAAAAAAGGCAGGAAGAGAACAACCAAAGAACTTGTTTGCATATATACATAACCCATGGACATAGACAATAGGGTGGTGAAGGCCTGGGGGCAGGGGGTGGGGGCAGGCTGTGGTTCTCTCAGTTCTGCCCTTTCCTCCCTCTGCCAGTGCTGGATTTCACAATCCAGCTGTTACACTCGGCTGTCTGTCGGGGCTGATGGTCTGGATTAAGCTAATAGACACCAAGTTCCCTCTTTCATAAATGAAGTGATGTGTTGAAGATCAAACATATCAAGAATACCCCGGGCCCCAGGTATCCGCTGTGTAGAAACAGCAGGCACGCACTCTGGGACAGCTTCAAGCGCACCAACATCTGAATTATAGGGGTGCCAGAAGATGAGAGAGAGCAAGATATTGAAAACCTATTTGAAGAAATAATGGCAGAAAACTTCCCCTACCTTGTGAAAGAAATAGACTTACAAGTCCAGGAAGCACAGAAAAACCCAAACAAAAGGAATCCAAAGAGGACCACACCAAGACACATCATAATTAAAATGCCAAGAGCAAAAGACAAAGAGAGAATCTTAAAAGCAGCAAGAGAAAGACAGTCAGTTACCTACAAGGGAGTACACATATGACTGTCAGCTGATTTCTCAACAGAAACTTTGCAGGCCAGAAGGGAGTGGCAAGAAATATTCAAAGTGATGAATGCCAAGAACCTACAACAAGATTACTTTATCCAGCAAAGCTATCATTCAGAATTGAAGGTCAGATAAAGAGCTTCACAGATAAGAAAAAGCTAAAGGAGTTCATCACCACCAAACCAGGATTATATGAAATGCTGAAAGGTATCCTTTAAGAAGAGGAAGAAAATGATAAAGATACAAACTATGAACAACAAATACACATCTATCAACAAGAAAATCTAAAAATCAAGTGAAT